TAGTACACCCACCTCAAGAGTACCCTGTGAATCTCACCGATGATGGATCTGCACTAAACATGACCCACACATCCATCATGATCTAACTTCAAATAATATTGCGATTTCGGGAAAGGAGAGAGGATGATGGGAGTTGTAGTCCACCTGCCTCTGGAGAATCCACTTCCAGGGGTATTAATAAAGTCGATCATCATCATAATCATCATCATCATCATCTAACTTTAAATAATGTTGCGGTTTGGGTAAAGGGCAGAGGATGATGGGAGTTGTAGTCCACCCACCTCTGAAGAATCCACTTCCAGGGGTATAAATAAAGTTCATCACCATCATCATCTAACTCAAAATAATGTTGAGATCTGAGAGAATGGCAGGGGATGATGGGAGTTGCTGAGATCTGGGAGAATGGCAGGGGATGATGGGAGTTGTTGAGATCTGGGAGAATGGCAGGGGATGATGGGAGTTGTTGAGATCTGGGAGAATGGCAGGGGATGATGGGAGTTGTTGAGATCTGGGAGAATGGCAGGGGATGATGGGAGTTGTTGAGATCTGGGAGAATGGCAGGGGATGATGGGAGTTGTTGAGATTTGGGAAAATGGCAGGGGATGATGGGAGTTGTTGAGATCTGGGAGAGAAAGGCAGGGGATGATGGGAGTTGTTGAGATCTGGGAGAATGGCAGGGGATGATGTGAGTTGTTGAGATCTGAGAGAATGGCAGGGGATGATGGGAGTTGTTGAGATCTGAGAGAATGGCAGGGGGTGATGGGAGTTGTTGAGATCTGGGAGAATGGCAGGGGATGATGGGAGTTGTTGAGATCTGGGAGAATGGCAGGGGATGATGGGAGTTGTTGAGATCTGGGAGAATGGCAGGGGATGATGGGAGTTGTTGAGATCTGGGAGAATGGCAGGGGATGATGGGAGTTGTTGAGATCTGGGAGAATGGCAGGGGATGATGGGAGTTGTTGAGATCTGGGAGAATGGCAGGGGATGATGGGAGTTGTTGAGATCTGGGAGAATGGCAGGGGATGATGGGAGTTGTTGAGATCTGGGAGAATGGCAGGGGATGATGGGAGTTGTTGAGATCTGGGAGAATGGCAGGGGATGATGGGAGTTGTTGAGATCTGGGAGAATGGCAGGGGATGATGGGAGTTGTTGAGATCTGGGAGAATGGCAGGGGATGATGGGAGTTGTTGAGATCTGGGAGAATGGCAGGGGATGATGGGAGTTGTTGAGATCTGGGAGAATGGCAGGGGATGATGGGAGTTGTTGAGATCTGGGAGAATGGCAGGGGATGATGGGAGTTGTTGAGATCTGGGAGAATGGCAGGGGATGATGGGAGTTGTTGAGATTTGGGAAAATGGCAGGGGATGATGGGAGTTGTTGAGATCTGGGAGAATGGCAGGGGATGATGGGAGTTGTTGAGATCTGGGAGAATGGCAGGGGATGATGGGAGTTGTTGAGATCTGGGAGAATGGCAGGGGATGATGGGAGTTGTTGAGATTTGGGAAAATGGCAGGGGATGATGGGAGTTGTTGAGATCTGGGAGAATGGTAGGGGATGATGGGAGTTGTTGAGATCTGGGAGAATGGCAGGGGATGATGGGAGTTGTTGAGATCTGGGAGAATGGCAGGGGATGATGGGAGTTGTTGAGATCTGGGAGAATGGCAGGGGATGATGGGAGTTGTTGAGATCTGGGAGAATGGCAGGGGATGATGGGAGTTGTTGAGATTTGGGAAAATGGCAGGGGATGATGGGAGTTGTTGAGATCTGGGAGAATGGCAGGGGATGATGGGAGTTGTTGAGATCTGGGAGAATGGCAGGGGATGATGGGAGTTGTTGAGATCTGGGAGAATGGCAGGGGATGATGGGAGTTGTTGAGATCTGGGAGAATGGCAGGGGATGATGGGAGTTGTTGAGATCTGGGAGAATGGCAGGGGATGATGGGAGTTGTTGAGATCTGGGAGAATGGCAGGGGATGATGGGAGTTGTTGAGATCTGGGAGAATGGCAGGGGATGATGGGAGTTGTTGAGATCTGGGAGAATGGCAGGGGATGATGGGAGTTGTTGAGATCTGGGAGAATGGCAGGGGATGATGGGAGGAGCAGCATTCCGTGGACACAGATACTAAAAGACAAGGGAGTTACGGATGGATGGGAATTTCTCAAGAGTGAAATACTCAAGGCGCAATTGCAAACCGTACCAACAAAGAGAAAAAATAGGACAAGTGCAAAGAAGCCAGAATGGATGTCCAAAGAACTTCTAACTGTGCTAAGACACAAAAGAGACATGCACAAGAAGTGGAAAAAGGGAGAAATCACCAGAGAAGAATTCAAACAAATAGCCAACACCTGTAGGGAAAAGGTCCGCAAGGCTAAAGCACAAAACGAGCTCAGGCTCGCCAGGGACATTAAAAACAATAAAAAGGGATTCTTATGTCAGTAGAAAAAGGAAGAACAAGGAGGCGGATGATGGGAGTTGTAGTCCACCCACCTTTTGGAAGATTTCACTTAAAGGGGTTTAAATAAAGTTCATCAGCATCAGCATCTAACTTATTATAATGTTGAGATTTGGGAGAATGGCAGGGGATGATGGGAGTTGTTGATATCTGGGAGGAATGGCAGGGGATGATGGGAGTTGTAGTCCACCCACCTTTTGGAAGAATCTACTTAAAGGGTTATAAATAAAGTTCATCACCATCATAATCTAACTCAAAATGATGTTGAGATTTGGGAGAATGGCAGGGGATGATGGGAGTTGTTGAGATCTGGGAGAATGGCAGGGGATGATGGGAGTTGTAGTCCACCCACCTTTTGGAAGATTTCACTTAAAGGGGTATAAATAAAGTTCATCACCATCATCATCTAACTTAAAATAATGTTGAGATTTGGGAGATTGCCAGAGGATGATGGGAGTTGTAGTCCATCCACCTTTTGGAAGAATCTACTTAAAGAGGTATAAATAAAGTTCATCACCATCATCATCTAACTTAAAATGATGTTGAGATTTGGGAGAATGGCAGGGGATGATGGGAGTTGTTGATATCTGGGAGGAATGGTAGGGGATGATGGGAGTTGTAGTCCACCCACCTTTTGGAAGATTTCACTTAAAGGGGTATAAATAAATAAAGTTCATCACCATAATCATCTAACTTAAAATAATGTTGAGATTTGGGAGAATGGCAGGGGATGATGGGAGTTGTTGAGATTTGGGAGAATGGCAGGGGATGGTGGGAGTTGTAGTCCACCCACCTTTGAAGAATCCACTTCCAGGGGTATAAATAAAGTTCATCACAACGGACATCATCTAATTCAAAATAATGTTGAGATTTGGGAGAATGGCAGGGGATGATGGGAGTTGTAGTTCACCCACCTTTTGGAAGAATCCACTTAAAGGGGTATAAATAAAGTTCATCACTACAAACATCATCTAACTTAAAATAATGTTGAGATTTGGGAGAATGGCAGGGGATGATGGGAGTTGTTGAGATTTGGGAGAATGGCAAGGAATGATGGGAGTTGTAGTCCACCCACCTTTTGGAAGATTTCACTTAAAGGGGTATAAATAAAGTTCATCAGCATCATCATCTAACTTAAAATGATGTTGAGATTTGGGAGATTGGCAGGGGATGATGGGGGTTGTTGAGATCTGGGAGGAATGGTAGGGGATGATGGGAGTTGTAGTCCACCCACCTTTTGGAAGAATCTACTTAAAGGGGTATAAATAAAATTCATTACCATCATCATCTAACTCAAAATAATGTTGAGATTTTGGAGAAAGGCAGGGGATGATGGGAGTTGTTGAGATCTGGGAGAATGGCAGGGGATGATGTGAGTTGTTGAGATCTGAGAGAATGGCAGGGGATGATGGGAGTTGTTGAGATCTGAGAGAATGGCAGGGGGTGATGGGAGTTGTTGAGATCTGGGAGAATGGCAGGGGAAAAAAATAGGACAAGTGCAAAGAAGCCAGAATGGATGTCCAAAGAACTTCTCACTGTGCTAAGACACAAAAGAGACATGCACAAGAAGTGGAAAAAGGGAGAAATCACCAAAGAAGAATCCAAACAAATAGGCAACACCTGTAGGGAAAAGGTCCGCAAGGCTAAAGCACAAAACGAGCTCAGGCTTGCCAGGGACATTAAAAACAATAAAAAGGGATTCTTATGTCAGTAGAAAAAGGAAGAACAAGGAGGCGGATGATGGGAGTTGTAGTCCACCCACCTTTTGGAAGATTTCACTTAAAGGGGTATAAATAAATAAAGTTCATCAGCATCTAACTTAAAATAATGTTGAGATTTGGGGGAATGGCAGGGGACAATGGGAGTTGTAGTCCACCATGTGCATCTTCTAACAGGCGAGCATGTGTATTTCTAATTCCCTAAAATCCAAAAATCCACAACCAACCCATGGCTATTTGTAATCGATAGCATTAACAACACGGAGGACATTCAACAGCTGCATGCGTGAGCATCCTCGGCATCGTTTACCAACTTAGCTAGTGTGGTTTTGTATTGCTCTGGATTGGAAACAGTCCATGCGCTCGGTATGCGCGCGGGCTTCCCCGGCAAAGGCCGAAATCCCTCATTTCCTATTGCGCTGACCCCTTAAGAAGCTCAGCGATGCGCCCGTTGTCGTCGTCTGTCGTTCCCCGCTGAAATCCTTTCATCCGGCAGCCGCTCTTTGCGGCGCATCTGTGCCTTGTGCGCCTGTGTGCGCACATTGGGAGAGCTTTTCATTCCCCGCCTCCTCCTCTTCTTCCTCCTCCTCTTTCGCCTGCTGCTATCTGATCTATGCTATGTGATCTCTCTCGGAATAACCACAAACTCCGGTGCCGACGATGCGTCCGGTGCCGACGACGCGTCCGTGTGCCTACTCGCTATCTGAAACATGATATCTGAGCTCTACCAGAATAACGGAAAACTCCGGTGGAGCAGACACCCGTCTCGTACGTACGGTGCCGGGTCCAGGATGGCGTTCCCGTAGCCGCCGGAGCTCCCTATGAGAATAACGGAAAACTCCGGTAGCACAGACACCCGTCTCGTACGTACTGTGCCACGTCCAGCATGGCGTTCCCGTAGCCGCCAGAGCCACATACCAGAATAACGGAAAACTCTGGTCGCGCAGACACCCGTCTCATACACACGGTGCCAGGTCCAGGATGGCGTTCCCGTAACCGCCGGAGCCCCGTACCAGAATAACAGAAAACTCCGGTCGCGCAGACACCTGTCTCACACGTACGGTGCTGGGTCCAGGATGGCGTTCCGGTAACCGCAGGAGCCCCGTACCAGAATAACGGAAAACTCCGGTCGCGCAGACACCCGTCTCGTACGTATGGTGCCGGGTCCAGGACAGCATTCTCGTAACCACTGGAGCCCCGTACCAGAATAACGGAAAACTCCGGTCGCGCAGACACCTGTCTCGTTCGTACGGTGCCGGGTCCAGGACAGTGTTCTCGTAACCGCCAGAGCCCCGTACCAGAATAACGGAAAACTCCGGTCGCGCAGACACCTGTCTTGTACGTACGGTGCCGGGTCCAGCATGCCGTTCCCGTAGCCGCCGGAGTCCGACGATGTGGCCATGTCTCTGCGTTTGGTGCCGACTTGCGCGGCTGCTCGTTTTGGGCTTGGTCTTCCTCCTCCCCGTCGGGGAACTCTGCCCGACCGCGTGTAGCTGCCTGGACTTCCACACCATCGACTGCCGGGACCAAGGGCTGCTCCGGGTGCCCAGCCCGTTCCCGTTGGACGTCCGCAAGCTGCTGGCGGCTGGCAACCGCATCCGGGAGATCCCGCCGGACTTCTTCGTCTTCTACAACGACCTGGTCTACTTGGACTTCCGCAACAACGCCATCTCGGTCTTGGAAGGGGGCACCTTCAGCAGCTCGGCCAAGCTGGTCTACTTGGACCTGAGTTACAACAACTTGACCCAGCTGGACGCCGGGGCGTTCAAGTCGGCCGAGAAGCTGATCAAGCTGAGCTTGGGACACAACAGCCTCTCCGCCGTGGACCGCGAGGCCTTCCAGAGCCTGGGCCAGCTCCAAGTGCTGGAGCTCAACGACAACGAGCTGCGGACGCTGGACGTGGCCGCATTAGAGGCCTTGCCCAACCTGCGGACAATCCGCTTGGAAGGCAACCCCTGGCTGTGCGACTGCGACTTCGCCGGGCTCTTCAGCTGGTTGGAAGGCAACCCCAACAAGCTCCAGAAAG